AACAGTAACTCTGCTCGTGCAAAGTGACCATTCTTTGCGTATCTGAAGCACTTCCCTTCACCGTGCAAAGTGACCCTTCTTTTGCGCACGTCCTCATGCCTCGACATGCAGAGCACTCCCACTGCTAGAGACCTCAACTCTTAAGACTTTACGGCGAGATTCTTCATCCAGAATTACCCCAACCACCGTGTCGAGCGTCATCTTGTCATTGCCATTAGCGTTGCTCACCGTCATCATCATATTCTCCCATGAATCTGGTAGACAAGAAAGTAGCAGAAGAGTTTGGATCTTATTGTCGAACTTGAGATCTACTGCAATAAGCTGTTGCACTACAGCTTGAAATTCGTTCAAGAACTCCGCCACGCGAGCTCCTTGATGCATCTTTAGATTGAACAGCTTTTTCATCAGGTATACCTTATTTGAAGCAGACGGCTTCTCATACAGCGCTTCCAAGGCCTCCATCAACTCCTTGGTGGTGGTCGCATACGAGACGTAAGTCACATGCTGATGAAGATTGAGCCTGATTGTGGTAAGTACTTTACGATCGAACACCTTCCACTTATCGTCGTCCATTTTCTCAGGCTTCTCCGCCTCTCCTTCGAGGGGTAGGAAGAGATCCTTCTGGTACAAATAGTCTTCTATTTGCATCCTCCAATTCCTAAAATTTTGGTCGTCGAATTTCTCAATTCTAAGCCTGTTGTCTTCAACTGTAGATCTCATGGCGAAAGATTACGTCTTTCTCGAACCGTATTTGTGAATAGTATCATATTCATAAATAGTATCATACACGTGAATAGTACCAAGTTCCTTAAAAGAGTAAATAATAATCTAACTTATTTTCTGATGTGGAGGATTCACTTTTAGTGACAATCATAGCGCATACGATAAGCAAATATATATACTCTAAGTCAGGCTCTGATACCAGTTGTTAGGGTACACACCAATAATAACACTTCGAACGGAGACGTAATACACAAAATAAATGCATAAAAATCAATCACAATACTCACAGATATACGTGGTTCACTCTTTCGGAGCTACTCTACGGTAGACCGACGACGCCAAATTCTTTTATATCCCAATAGCATAGATCAAAGAGAACACCCTCTCTTGATCAGATACACTCTAAAAACTCTCACAATCTCTCTCTGTGTTTTCTCTCTTACTCTTCTATGAGAGAAGTTATTTTTGGGATGAGTATTTCTGAAGAGTTTAAGACCCTATTTATAGTGTTTGAAAAATACTATATACTAATAAAATATTATTAGTAAGACCCGCCAATAATAATATTTTATTGGTGGGACCCACCAACAATTTATTTCCTCAATGTTTGCGGCCACTGAATCCTTGATTGTCAAAAAAGGTGGCGGGGGTGGTTGGCTGGGTCAAAAGAGGCTGCTGGCTAACATTATAAACCCCTATCACCTTAAAAACCCCTGTCACCTTACCTAAGGTCAATCCTCAAAAGAGATGTTAAAAATTCCTGATAAAGATAACTATAACAGGAGCTAACCAAAATCCAAGAAGAAGATGCAACCTGCAGTAAGGTTTTAAATATCGACCGATATGTCCGACATGTCGGTTTGAGGGCTTGACCGACACGACATGGACGTTTTCAACTTGTATGTCCATTTTCAGGGCCAAATCGGAAATATCAGGGTCATATCGGGCATATCGGCCGATTTTTTAAAAAATCGGCCGATATGGTACTTTTATTTAAGATCTGTTTTTTGTTATCGGGTTTGAGTTTAGTGATAAATACCCAAACCCGTTTGACCCGTTCTCATTTTAAGGGTTTCTTATGAACCCGATAGAAAGAATTTATGAACCCAAATTCATATATTATTTACTTTTTTATATGTTTAGTCTATAGAATTTATAAATTATGCTTATATTGAATTTATGAATGCTTAGATTATATTTAGGACATGATATTATACATATGCGTACTACCCGATATGACAATCCGATATTTAGTCAATGTCCTCCGATATATCCTCGATTTCCGCTATCCGACATGGATTTCAGCCATCCGACATAAACCCGACATCCGACATTTAAAACCTTAGCCTGCAGGAATTACTGGTCATGTACTTTAAGCTCCTGTGACATAAAGGAACAACCCTCCAAATTCTTTTAGATTAAGAGAGCACCCAAAGTAATGGAAAAGATGAAAAGCTATAGGAAATCACATTTAAAGCAGACAGAAAAATAGAACAAGTTCCTAGTCATATTTTTCTGAATAGTTGCATAACATTATATAAAACTTGGATAGTGTAGATGAAAGTGAAAGCCCGGAAATCAATGCTTAAGAAACTAGATATCGGTGCATGGCATGAAAATAAATATTAGGGTTTACTCCTGAAAACCATCTTATATTTAGGGTCAATTTATGTAAACCACTTTATATTTCCAATATATACCTAAACCACCTGCAAAGTTATTTTTTTCCTCCAATTAACCACCTGACTCCATTTTTCTACTAAAATTTTCCTAAAATTCCGACAATACCCTCACTTAATCTCACGTGGAAAAAGCCGCATGAACAAGAGAGGTCACGTGATTTACACATGAGATTAAGTGAGGATATTATTAGAATTTCAGGAAAATTTTAGCCGCAAACTGGGGTCGGATGATTGATTGGAAGAAAAACTAACTTTGTAGGTGGTTTAGATATAAATTTGAAATATAAGGCGGTCTATGTAAATTGACCCTAAATATAAGGCGGTCTCTAGGGAAAAACCCTAAATATTAACCATCATCCACTTTAGCCAGAATGTGGATTGTGGATGTTAGCTGCATTCATAAGATTATTGGAAAAATTAAGAACCCAATCTGTTAAACTGAAAACCTGAGCCGTGGATGGGGATTTAAATATATGATCAGCATTACTAATAGTATGGGCTTTTAGTTAATAAGTCAGAGACTCAGAATATTTGTCAAAATATGCGTACATGATTAGAAACAATGCTGAAGTACCCTTATTGGAGAGAACCACTACAAACTATAAGTCTGCCATTTTGGTTGGCATGTTTAACAACATTGGAAATAGTAGACTAGTCAAGTTTGACAGAATTATTTGTCAAATCTGGATCATGAAACCTATCAAATTGGAAAAAATGTTGTGCAAGGTTGCTGATAGCGGATCGCGGCGCGTCGCGGCGAGGTACCGCTAAGGCTATATCGGGCTATTGCGACGAAATCGCGGCAAATAGCGCACAGTCAAATAGCGGTCAAATTTAAATATATTTAAATATCCTAAATAATAAAAAAATTCATTAAAAAATCTAAAAATTCAATTAGTTGTAAATTTCTTGTATTATCAATAAATAACAATTAATAAGCTTGTTGTATGAATGAAACTATGAAGAAATTCAAGAAATATAGCATCATAATATGTGTGATAGCGGGTTTAGCGGGTTTAGCCGCTTTTAACAACAAAAATCCGCTTTTAACCGCGAAAATCCGCTTTTAACCGCGAAAACCCGCTTTTAACTCGCTAAAATCCGCTTTTACACGCTATTCGAATGAATAGCGGATTTTCCCGCTTAAGCCAGCCGCGAAACCCCTACGCGTAGCGCTGAAGGGCCGCGACCGCTATTCGCGCCGCTATAGCCCCGCTATTGGCCGCTATTTACAACACTGATGTTGTGTAAAAGCTTTTGGGGAAAATCACTATGAAATAAGTCTATTGTTTTGGTTGGCATGGTTTCACACATTGGAAATGGTAAACTAGTCAGTTTTTACAGGGACAAACGATGCAATGACACGATATTAGGTTCCATATATTGAGACCTATTTCTCTGAGCAAATGGTCCCTGTGATTTATGTCTATGGTGCAGTTAAATTTCACAGGGGGACAAGCAATTGGAGGTTGAACATCAATTATCAAATAGATGAGATTACCCAAAAAGGAAAGGGATGTACCCTATTTCTCTTGTTGTCATATTGGAAGATGGCAACTGCATTTGGGAGCGACGCCCCTTAAAGCGGGGTGGTACTGGTATCATAAGGGTCATTCATGGGTAGAAATTATATTTTTCATAATGATGGATGTTAGAGAGGCTCCTTTTCCAACACAATTTGGGCTATTAATGCATCAATTAGACCTTTTTTTTGTCTTGCTGTGAGGGACACTGTTCTTACAGGAGACACGCTCATGAAACGGAAAATTGAAATAGAACACACGGCTGTGTGCTTTGCATCAGAGACTAAGTTGGACACATTTTCATTCACTCTACATATAGAGGCTTATTTGAAATACCTCAAGAACAATATTAGGATTCAACACCACCCAGACTCCTTTCTCGAGTTGTGCTCAGTTTGGGATCTGCAAGTATCCAATTTAGGATTTGGGCACCAAACCACAATCTGATCTTTTTTTTTTTTGCATCACTCATGTCATTTGCTAACAGCTATTTCCTTTGAATCACGTTCTCCTTTATGTACACTGAGATGTTTCCTTGAACTTATTAATGAAAGTTGGAAGTTTCAATCTCAAGAAGTATATCTCAATTGTCTTTCAATCAAACAATGAACATAAAAAACTCTCACGAAATCAGTTATGGTGCAAGGGATTACAGCACAGAAAAGAAGCAAAACATGCTCATGAAGATAAGGTTATGGTGTACTTTAAGCCTCAATATAAAGACGCTACGTATGGGGTTTGATCTATAAATACATTGAAATTGAACTAACACTTAAATAAGAGGAAACCACATATTTTGATCATCAACATAATCATGTTAATCTTAACAAGTACATCTCAAATTCTAAATTATAGTGCGAGGGTCTATTACCCATCCTAAATCCTAAATATTCACAATAACTCATCAATATAAGATTGTGGTTAATTTTAAGCCTCAACATCAACACTCCGCAAATGGGTTTTAAGTTATGAATGCATATCAATCAAAATTAACAATTCAATAACAAGAAGCCATAGACTTTGGTCACCATCAGCATAATCAAATAAGTAATATAAGTCAACAAAAAATTACTCTGGAGAGGATGTCATCGGAGAGAGCGAGATGGGTATGGCAGTGCTTGCAGCTGTAGATCTTGCCTTCAAGATGAATCAAAAACAGCCGACCCATCGATCGTTCGAAATTTCAAATAATAGTTTGTAAAATCAACAGATATTCCAATTTAATCGGAAACCCAAATCAGGATTCAGCGGCCAAGGAGAAATGAAACTGAAACTGAAGCGGAAAATGTTAGACCTGGCGAAATCAGGAGAGGAAAACGAAATTGGGCGATCAAGTCATCAAACCTCTTATAGATTCTCTGCTCGACTGAAAACCAAAGGGGGAAAAAAAGAGAGAAAAGTGATGGAAAAAGAAATTGAAAAAGGAATAGAAGAGTAAAGGGACGCCAACTGTCGTGTTAATTTGTGTAACTTTTTCTTTCTTTCTTGGTTTTTTTAATTAGATAATAGTACCTTAAATCTTTAATATTTTGAGATTAGTTCCTTAAATCACGGAAACTTCTATGTAGTCCTCTGGTCTTATTAATTACTGCAAATTGGTCCCTTCTAAATTACTAATCAAGTTGGATCGGTTCAAACCTGTATTTAAAGAAAGCCATTGGACTGGGTTCAGAGTAGGGGTGCTAAACCATGTCCATATCCTAGGAATTATCGGTCGTATCCGTTAGGATACGTTACTCAAATCTATAACCGACATGATATGGTTACGGTTATGGTTTTGTAGTGAAATATCCGGATCCGTATCCAAAATATCCGAAAACATATTAGTTATATTGCTACGATAGTTTTAATCCTTAGATTATAGATTTGAGGTTAATTTTGATGATCAAGATGTTTAATCTTAGCTTTTCAGAGATATGAACATATTAATGAACTCTTTTGTATCAAATGAACTATATATTTTTTCAATACTATCTAGTTTTCTCATATCCGTTTTGCATTCACATGCATATCCACTTATATATCTGCATGTATATCTGTATCCGTATCTGATTTTAATGGATATGAACATGAATTTTCCTTACCGAGGTATTGTCCATATCCGTACTCATATATTCGATATGGGTAACATATATGAATATGATAAGTATCATATGCAAGTCGTATCCAGACCGAATGCACCCCTTGTTTAGAGTGACTAAATAGTAGGGGCAAGAAACTTATGACAAAAAGTTAAAATAAATAAAATATTCCCTCAACACCAAACTAAATATCAGAGATTTCAGAGATTGATTGCAAAATATCAAAGATTTAAGAAGAAAAAGTATTTTTCTCCCAATCCTTCAAATAGGATTATTCGACAAATCTAGGCCTGTCCATTCGGGCTCGAGGCCGAGACTCGGCCCGGTGTCTGGACCGGACCCGGTCGGGCTAGAGCCTGGCCTAAACCCAGGAGAAGCTCGGGTTTCTGGGCCAACCGCGCTCCGGGCCCGGGTCCGGGTCGACTCGGTGCAACCCCTACCCAGCCCGACTCGACCTGACCAAGAAAATGGTCGGGCCAGAGTACCCAGGTCAGTGTCTGGCCCAGACCCAACCCAGTCCAAACGGTCAAAAAACTGGCCGTTAGATCGGGCGGCCTGGACCCGACATGGTCCGGTATGCCCAAATAGCTTAAAATGGCTATTTTAAGCAATTTTTTAAAAGGGAAAATTACAGGGCCAACCTGAGCCCACTGGGTCCAGGTCCGGGTCACCCATTTTGCCAGGCTCGGACCTGGATTTCTGAGCCAGGCCGACCCGAATGGACAAGACTAACAAAACCCATCTTTGATTGTTAATTTACACACAAACAACCTCTAAACAATTTTTTCTTGCAATTAACCATCCGGACACAGTTTAAATTACATTATTTAATTTTACTATAATGATTAGATGTCAGATACGAAGTATATTAGAGATACGACCCTTAATAGAGGTTAGATGGGGTCAATTTCCGAAAAAACTTAACTGAAAAGCGGATCCTAGTGATTGATTATAACAAAATATCATTTAAAGATGGTTTATATATAAATTTAGAACAAAATTTTAAAAACACACCTTTTTAAAATTTATTCAGCAAAATTGACTCTTTCTAAAAATAATCAGCAAAACCGATCCTTTTCATCTGAAAATGACCGGTTTTGCTGGCGTAGTGTTTTTGCGAACTGCACGGGACTACTAGTCCCGTGCAGTCCACTTTAATTGCGTGATCCCCTTCCTTTTGCTGGTCCACATCGACAAATCCTTCCTCTCGGTCGTGTCGAATGCTCTCTTCCCGCTCTGCAAGCTCCCGCAAGCGCAATGCATGCGTATGAGAGCAATGGCCAGCTCCTCTTGCATCCCATGAAGTCGCCGCAGAGCGAGCCTATGCACGTACCACCCGTGGTCTAGCGCGCACAGACCGGCGTAGTAGGTCAGCTCGCCCACGAACGTGTTGGCATTAGGCGACGGGTCGTAGGAATTGAGCATTTTGTGAAATAAGCGCAGCCTCTGCTCTTGATGGGAGTGAGCTTGCTTCGAGAAGCAGGAGATGAGGGTGTTCCAGGTGACGGTGGTTCTGCGCGGCATTTCGTCGAACAACTAGCGAGCGAAGTTGAGGGAGCTGGCCGAGGCGTAGGCGTGGAGCATGGAGGTGGCGACATATGGGTCGAATGTGGAGGCTTGATGCTTTGCATGCTGCAGAGCGACTGGAGGTGAGCGCGAGGAGCAAGCGGGAGAGGCAGCCCGGAGGAGCGAAAGGAGGGGGGCGCGGACGGTCGGGGCGACGGGCTGGAAGACAGAGCGGAGCGATATGAGGCAGAGAACGAGGGGGGAGAGGGAGGAGGGAGGCCAGGAGGAGTGGGCCCGGATGAGGCGAGTGAAGGCGAAAGGGAGGGCCGATTGAGATGGCGGTGGGAGTGGGCCGGAAGGCCGAGGGAGCGAGGCGGAGGTCCGGTGGAAGGAGAGGGCAGGAAAGGATGCAGGGCAGGAGTGAAGGGGTCGAGCGCCAGAGGAGGAAGGCGTTATGAATGGCGCCGAGAGGATTTTCGCCTAAGGTTACGGCTGCTGCGCGCAGGAGCAGGAGGAGGCGTCGGAGGGCGGCATGAGGAGGTCGGGATCGCCAGGCTTTCGAAGAGATTGACGCTGGGGATCGCAGCTTAGCAAATTTTGGTATTTTAAAGAGGGCGGAGAGAGGAGAGAGAGATAGGCAGTTCGTGAAGTGAGGAGAGGGGAGATAGGCCTACACGGGACTAGTAGTCCCGTGAAGTTGAAAAAACTTTACAACAGCAAAACCGACCCTTTTCAGATAAAAAGAGTCGGTTTTGCTGATTATTTTTAGAAAGAGTCGATTTTGCTGAATACATTTTAAAAAATGGTGTTTTTAAAATTTGTCCATAAATTTACAACCATAGATGATTTCTATAGAATACTAATTTTTTAAAGGTGGTTTGTAGGAAAAAAATACTTTATTTTTTGCTTTTCTATTTGGCTCACGAGTCACAATCAAGTACTAATTAAACTACTAACATTATTAGTAATGTAGAGTTATTTACTAGATTTTAGCCTTTAATGCAAACAAAGTGTTGGATTTTTTGGTCAAAACTGCTTTCCAAAATGAGTTTTCAAACTATATATATATTAACTACAAGTACTTTTCATAAATGCTTAGTAGCATAGTGGAAAGTTAATATTTTGTTGTTTCAAAAGGTCCCTTGTTCGAGGCTTGCCAACGGCAAGCCGAGAAATGTTTTATTTAAATTAATCCCTCATAAGTTCTAGTGGGTCGTGGGTCGTGGGCCAATGGGCTGAGGATCGGGGCTAATCGGGCTGAGGCGCTTTGTTAGGCGCACTTTGCACTTTCCACGGAGGCATCGGGGCGAGGTGGCGCTGTTTGGCCCCACGAAGGTTGCCTCACAGGCTGCTTCGCAGTATGCGGACGAGCTGCGTATTTGCACGAGGGTGACCCTAGCGTTCTCGTAGTTTGACAAGGTTCGCTCGTTCGACGAAGTTCATTTGTCATACGAGGTTCGCCTGTTTGACGATGTTCATTCGTTTGACGACGTTCGTCTATCATACGAGGTTCGCTTGTTCGACGAGGTTCGTTTGTCTTACGAGGTTCGCCTGTTTGACGAGGTTCGCTCGATCGACGAGGTTCGTATGTCTTACGAGGTTCGCCTGTTTGACTATGTTCGCTCGTTCGACGAGGTTCGTCTGTCATACGAGGTTCACCTGTTTGATGACGTTCGTTTGTCAAACGAGGTTCGTCTGATTTGTTGAGACGTGACCCTCCCGTTTCGTAGCAATGTGTCCATTGATTGCATCATATTCAGGAGTTAATGCATGCAGCGGTTACAACAGCATTAAGGGCAATTTAATGCATTGATGTTACAATCTTAATTGTCATTAAGAATTGTAACAGTCACATTAATTCCTTGTGACTCTTGAGCTGGCCTTAGAGGCCTATAAATAGCGCCCTTGGGCAGCTCTTGGAAAAAAGCTGAAAATCCTCTCGCGAGCGTGGAACACGAACGTCGTGTGCTGGAACACGAACGTCGATCCCGACGTTGTTGCTGTTGTACTGCTGCTGCAGGAACTTGTGCCCATAGGAACTTGTCTTAAACCGAAAGGTTTTGAACCGTAAGATTCTGAGATCGAGGAGATCTTTTGCCTTGACCGAAAGGTCTTATAGATCGTGGAGATCTTGACAGTACTGGGTTGATGCACACAAGAGTAATGTACTGCTGTTCCTTGAAGCAGTTTGACCTTGGGATCCTTGCACCGGAGTAGGCCAAATATTGCTTTAAGCACAGCGTTTCTATAACGCACAGCAGTGAACTAAAAAAATTAAAAATTACAGCACATCTGTTTTCTCAGTTTAATTCCAGATTTAACCACAATTTCCAACACAAAGCCTAATCAAGACCTTCATCTTTTCTCTTCTAATGGATGTCTAAGAACTGGAAATTAAATGTAAATTGGACTAAAGATAAATCGAAAGGTAACTCTGGTTTTTCTATTTAAAATTAAAGAAATTAATTTTAAATCCAAATTTATAGTATCAACCATGAAACAGGTGATGTGTCATATGCTAGTTATTGATCTTGGTTATAATCTGAAGAAAATAACCCATGTCACATCGTCCCATGAATTTTAGGTACAAAGGGGGGTGGAAATTAATCCTTTAAAGTTTATCACAATTTTAACTATTTTTACTTCTTACAAATTCTGGAAGAAGTAATTTAAAGTGATGAAGATCAAATAAGAAGGATAGAAAAATTAATTTATTATTATTATCGGTCAACTTCGAACAGCAACCAAATAGAGACATAAAACAAGTGGATGCTACCTTTCGTATGATTCATAACAAAAGAAAGAAAAGAAGATACCTCAAATTATCTTCATGTAAAGAGGCTTTTTCAACTAGCTAGAGGGTACCTTACATCAATTTGCTG